CATATCTTTTCCTTTGTTGATTACCTGCTCAGTGTGACGACTGAAGCTCATATTATTATAACTACTTTTTCTTTAGTCTTTATTCCACAACTTGAGAATGGTCTTAATCTTGGACTTCCAGTTGGACTATGTCTTATGATTTCAATTGTACTTATCCATGTATCAGATGTTACTGTGGAGTCTTTTTTTTTTTTATCTGCATTAAAGTTCCCAATCATAATTAGGAACAGCAGGGTCCAAGAACTGAGCCTCGTGGTACTCCACCTCTAACAGTAAATTCATTAGAATGATAGCCATTTATGTTTACATTTTACTTACGAATTGTTAGGAAAAGTATAGTGTATACTAGTGTATGGGGTATAAGTCCATGGTCAACTTTACTGAAAGCTTTTGCAAAGTTTAAGTATATTTCATCAGATTTTGTATTCTCAGTTAGGTCTCTTAGTATGTGTTCACAATCATAAACACACACACCCAATATATATATATATACATATATATATATATATATATATATATATATATATATATATATATATATATATATATATATTATATATATATATATATATATATATATATATATAATATATATATATATATATATATATATATATATATATATATATATATATATATATATATATATATATATATAATGTATATCAATAAAGTTTTTATTGATTTATTATTATTATTATTATTATTTTTTTTATTATTATTATTATTTGTATGTGTGTGTGTGTGTGTGTGTGTGTGTGTGTGTGCGTGTGTGTGTGAAGAAAAGGGTTTAGGTGAATCAGATCAGTATTTACCAAATATTGAGTGAGAACTTTATTATTATTATTATTAATATTATTATTATTATTATCAATGTTATTATTACTTCTGTTATTGTTATTGTAATCATTATTGATATTGTTACTCTAATATAAAGATCTAACGTTAAACAATCATTTTATTATTATCATTATTATTTTATTTATTTATTTTTATTTATTTTTTTTTATTTATTTATTTTTTCCCTCCCCCTTTCCTGTTCTCTTTTTATAATCCCATTTATTGATGTCTACTTACATTTGAAACACGTTATCTCTTCAGTATCAATTTCATGAGATATTGTTTTGAGTTATAAGAATATCATCAGAATTCAGCTTTAAGTTCATGGGTTTGTTGTGATAATTATTAGTAAAAATCATTTATAGCTTAAAAGCTTTAACCATAATGTATGATGACATTTGATGAACAGGCCCATCTATAGTCATAAGGTTTTGATAATTATAGATGGCTACGAAGATTGCAGTTGTACCTTTCTGTAATATACTCGTCTCTGTGGAACAAATGATTCCAGGCAGACCCAATAATGGAATTATTGTTCTTTTGCATTCTGTAGGCATCCATACTTGCTGTATTTGCATGTAAAAGACTTCTTTTCATGTCGTATTACGTGGGCAGAAACATTTTATGATTTGCTGAAGCTACCTAGTATTATTGATATTAATGTGATCTTGATAATGATTATAATTCATACTACTATTGTTTTTTATTTTTATTTTTATTGATATTGCTACTGTTATTATTATTATTATTATTATTTTAGGGGTATGAATGCTGTAATTTATGTGCTTTGTCCTTACAGCCTGTTTTGGTGCCCAATGACGGCCAAAGTCCACTCCCAGAAGGTTGGGAAGAGCGTCAAGATGCTAATGGCAGGATGTACTATGTAAATCACAATGCCCGAACGACGCAGTGGGAACGGCCAACTAGGTACAACAAGTGTGTAGTATACTCAGATCCGTATTTTTACACTTAATTTCTTTCAGTCTGTCTGTATGTCAATTGGTTAGTGTCATTTTAAAAGTGTGGATATCTGAAAATTCATGATTAAGAGAACTGAATATTTGATTTTGTACATGAGAGTATGCATGGTTGTGTGAATGAGTTGGACCAATTTGTAATCTGGAAAATGGCAACAGAAACGGGTTGCCATCCTGCAGCTTCCTTTAAAATTTGAATTCCGTTCCAGCTCCCAAGGCAATAATGAACACGAGCGTAATCAACGTCTAGAGTCAGCACAGAACGAATTTAGGAATGAATTTAGGCGCAGGTTTCACATATCCGTTGACGACAACGAAGTGTCGAGAGGGGACAACACCACCATCTTGCAACAGGTAAGTTAAGATACTGCTGTGTAATCTTGCAAATTGTAATCTAACCCATGAAGACAATTCATATAAGGGAAAATTATTTCCCTGTATCTTCTACTCTTCAATTTGTTTCCTTTTTCTTGTTTGAAAAGTGGAAAAAAAAGAGATGGTTGATTAATTTCATCTGATTTTCTCAATAAATTTATTGTTGTTATATATTATTTCTTCAACAAATCTACATGGCATTGATTCTAAAGATAGTATTTTATAATGAATACTTATTTTCCTTTTCTTCAATTATACAGAAGCAGATTTAATTGCTGATCTTTTCTCTGTGGCAATATTTGAAGGATCTGTCATTTATTCTGATAGATAGATATCCATAACCTTGGCTTAAAGATAGCAGGGTCATGTTCTTAGGAGGATCTGAAGGAAGCTAGATTCTTGAGTTGTGGTGTTGGTACGTAATTGCAATAGCAGATAGTCTTGCTCATTTAGTTGTTGGACCAAAGAAAGCAGGGTTGTCTGATGTTTTAGGGCTTGCATACTTTCAATCATTGAGGAAGTCACATTTAGTCATTTTAGTTAGGTAGGTGAAACTTGGTGTGGATGAACAGGTTTGTTTAACATCTAATGGATGGGAAAGTTCAGAGTAGACAGGTTATAAAAAAAAGTGAAACTTATAGGGAAAAATCACCAGGTAAAATAACTTTTACCTAGTTTATCACACAAATCAGTATACCGAAATGCTTGACAAAAGTGTTCATACAGGATTGGAGAAAAAAAACAAGATTTGAGAAGCAGGAATAGATAAGAAAAACAGTAACAAACAGACAAAGAATTAGCTTCACCATCTGTCACCCACAGTAATGATCACATAGTGCAATAGATGCTGAATACCATCCTATAGGTGTTAAATTGGCTACATCTCTCAGCTTAGTTAAGAATATTTTCTAAGGGGCATTGAATATACCCATTATAAAAAGAAACAGTAGCAAAGAATATGATAGTTTTATAGTTCCAAGTGGGAATATTTTTTCATCTTCCTTGTAAAGTTTTGTTTAGGATTTTCTTCAACCCATTAGCAACAGATAAATGCACTGTCCACTAGTTTCATTTTGTGAATTTTGTTTACACATAGATGTCTCCATGGGTGCTTTGTCACCAAAGAGCTAATTAGTAGGCCTACCTGACCTCACCTGATATCCCCATTCCTTGAATAATTGGGAAACATTTTATTTTTCTAATGCTCTTGACATCATTTTGTTGCAATTATTGTTTCATTATTATTATTGTTATTATTATTATTATTGTTAGTATTATTTTTGCTATTATTATTATTGCTATTATTGTTATTATTATTGACAGTGGGATTACTATAATGTTAATATCAATACTAATAGTAAGAAGAAGTAAATATTTGAAAAAAAAATACTTTCTAAAAAGTAGTGAAAAGGAGAAACATGTGGAATCAGGCAGGCATAGTAATTAACCCCTTAGTGATGAAGTACTTGTGGAGATATTGGTGTTTAAGCAAAATTGATAAGCAGTGGACATGGCATGTATGTATGCGCTGTCATCGTTGCCTTCATTATGGTTGCTATTATGATTATTGTTATTGTTGTTGTTGATGTTGTTATTAGGATTATCATTATTATTGATATTCATCATTGTCATTGTCATCTTCATGGCCATAATTATTATTATTGATAATACTTATTGTTATTATTATTATTATTATTATTGTAATTATTATCATTATTATTGTAATTGTTATTATTGTAGTTCTTATAATTATCATCATCATAGTAGTCATTATTATTCTTATTAGCATCATTATCATTGTTATTGCAATATACTGTGTTACAGGCAAAAACAAGTCATTGTCAATCCTATTTAAACAGGAAATAAGTAAAACACCCCAAGAACCGTGTTAAATACAAAAAAGAACCTGTTCCTGTTTTTATATATATGATATATATTATATATATATATATACATATACATATACATATATATATATGCACACACATGTATGTATATATATATATGTTTATTGGTACATTTTTTTGGTGTTTTTGTTTCTGTTTTAGCTGTTAATTTTATTTTTATTATATTACATTCTTATTGTTGTTATTACCTTTTTGTGTAAGGACCTTGAAGAATTTTGGTATACAGAAATGGTAATCTTACTGTAAACATTTATTTTTTTACTTGAAATTATAATTTCAGTCTTAGTACATTTTTCGGTGAGTGGTGTAATGATAGTTTGACAAATATAGGATCATAACCTTTCCCCAACTTTTGATCTGTGTGACTTTCAACCCTCCATATCGAGAACAAGTAGGATCTGTTCTTGTATAAAGTTAGTTTAAGATACCATCCTGTCATTTTCTCTACTGAAGGATATATCTTCTCTGTATTAGGTATATGGTGTTCAAATTCTTCGGGTTTTGGGGATTCAAAGTTTCAAAAGTGGATAGATGTATCATATTCCAGAGTGGTTAGATTTACCATATTTTACATTGCTTCATTAATACACAGTAAATTCTCATACGAATATCTCGCTCTTATGATGCTCTTAGGTTTTTGTTTGGGATACTAGAAGAGCACTCATGACTTCTAGCTGCCGTACTAACACGTTTGGTTGACTTGTCCTCCGTAACAAGATGCTACAATTCTGTCAGAACATAAAGAAGGGGAATGGCTGTATTTGTAAAGATTTCTAGGTTATCTTTTGAAGAAAATGAAGTTGGCAGCTTCTGTCTTATTATTATTATTATTCTAATAATTATGGATGTCACCATTTTATTGGGGGTTTTGTCATCAATATGTTTGTTATTATTTCGGTGATGATGAATGTAGGTAATGCTACTATTATTTGCCATGAGTGATCAAAGAGGTTGGGATTAGCTGTAGAGATTGACAGTTGCATTCATGACTAGGTATTTTATCCAGCAAAGGTTTCAACTGTTTGGCTCAGATGTATTTCACTTTATAGTCATATGTTTGGGATAAGAGAAAATGGCCAGTACAGATTTATAGGTTGAAGTGGGAATGTTTGTCAGGGAAATTTTTATTAAAAGGGTAAACACATTAATGACATTTTGTGCATGTTGTTTTTCTGATTCTTAATTTCTACTCTCACATTCATTGTAACTATGCTGAATTTTGTAATAGTATACTTAACAGTGTCTTGTTCATGGTTGATATTTAATTTGCAAGATAAAGATTGATTGTTTGATTGCATTTGTTCCATGTATCCTTATATAATATCTGTTAAAACCATGGTCATGAAATTTAATAACCCTTGTCTGTATCTTTTTCTTTCTTTCCTTTCTTTCTTTTTTTCCCTCCATGAACTAGCCATTTTCATCTCTACTCAAGATTTACATTCCATGAACAGCTTTTCATGATTCATAGTTACAGACCTCCATACACCTATTCACAGTTGTGTTTTTATATTCTCTCTTTTATTATTTGTCTGTTAACACTTGAATGCAGAATTATTTGGTTTAGTATTCTTAGCCCCTACAATCCGGATGATGTAACCATTACGTTATGAAAGAATATGGCTGTGGGCCAGGTGATGCAAACTTGCCATTGTGAGCGTCTCAGCTGAAGGCCTCTTGGAGGGTGATTATACTCACCTGGTGTTTAGAAAGGGGCTTTGGCATTATTCCCCTTGGACAAACAAGTGTGGAATGCAATGTCTGTGAGCTATGACTGGAAGAGCGCAGGCTTGCGTGAGCTGCCACTCTGCTGGGTGGGTGTTTGTAGTCCAGGCACATGCAAACACATGTGCACAGTAATAGTACTCTATACCTCCTATTTCCAAAGTTATTTACTCTTATTACGCATAAGTGTTATTAGCCTTTTGGCCATTTTTCAGTGTCCATGTTTGCTATTTGATTTGCACTACCCAGATAGTTTTCATTCTTTTGCACAGACTCCCAATCTTTTCTCAAGGTAGTCTACCACTCGGTGCAAGAAAAATAAAACCAAATAATACTGTTATTTTTGTAATTTAAACATTTTATTTATATTACATTCAATTTTCTGTAAAACAGCTTGTGTCTCGGCTCATGTCACCAGGAATACGATGCTGAGCTTGGAAATGGCATCTTCCATGGAGCCAGTGCTCTTTCAGTTATCAATCACAGACATTTCATTTCACACTCGTACATTGATAGGAATAATGCAAAATTGTCAAATTAGTAAAATAAACCTCTCAAAGAGGTTAAGAATTAATTTTTTGCCAACTGAAGTTTATTTGTACACTTGCTGTTGGTTTGTAGTATATATTTTCTCATATATAACTTTTTGTTTGTTGTTTATTATTTTACATTTTCAATCTCCCCTCCTGCTCCTCCTCCTCCTCCTCCTCCTCTTCCTCCTCCTCTTCTTCCTCCTCCTCTTCCCCTTTCTCCCCCTTCCCCCCAAAGATAACTAATGTCTGAACTTGGAATCTTGATGTAAAAATCATCTTTTTGAGAAGTCATCCCATAACTATATCTTGGGAGTTGCCTCGTTTTCCCCCCCTCTGAACTTCCTTACTAAGGACTTTTATCTGACAAATTGATGATGTCTGGAGAGTCTAGATGAAGAACAATAGGGAAAAGAATAAAATTTGATCAGATAAAATTATACTGAATAAATTATTGTGATCAGAATAGTCTAGGTGAAGAACAAAAAGGAAAAGGTGAAAAAAAATTCTGATAAAGGGGACTAAATAAATTATTGTTATCAGAATAGTTGAAAGATTGGTTTTCATGAAAGGTCATGTGTTCATTGAGCTGCTCCATACCTTTTTTTTGTTAGTTTTTTAGTTTTGGTATGTAATATTTTGAAGAGAATTGCCATAAAGAGTTGCACTGCATGGAGGTGTTACCCTCTTGCTTTGAGAGTCATTTTGCTCAAAATCTAGCGATGGGTTGATCATGTGTTCTAATGTAACAGTGCATGGGTTCAGTTTTATAAGATTTGAGTAGGCAGCTGATTGCACCATCATATATATAAAAAGC